TTAACCCTTGACTTGGTGTTATCAGCACCACACTCTCCCAAGTGAGCCACGAGCTGGCCCTCTAGTCATTTTTTCTGTACATTTTATGTTCACTTTTCCCAATGGGTGGAGAATCTGAGACTTTTAACAAAAAAGGGAAAAATTTCCCCTACCTAATACAAAGGATGGCTGTTGTGCTTTATCAACTGATCAAGAAGTCAACATTTCCAAAATAAAACAAATTTTCAAATTATTAAAATAGAAATCTGAAGGCTAGCCAGTTACCTCAGTTGGTTAGAGCACAGCATTACAACACCACGGTCAAGGGTTCGATCCCTATACTGGCCAGCTGCCAAAAAAAAAAAAAAAAAGAATCTGTGACAGCACAGAAGACACACTTTTTTTCTAGAAATAAATTCTCTGTGCATCTTTCTAGCTGTGGATCCAAGATGCATTTCCTAAATATCCTGTGATAAAAGATGACTAATTCAAGGGAATTTCACTTTTCTCTGTTCATTAAGTAATCCTTTCATACTTTCTTTACCTTAATATTTTGCTACTATTAACTCTGGGCAGGATCCCTATAAGTATATTATACTGCCAGAAGCAGAATGGGTGAAAATACAGTCTGACTTCAAACTGTTCACTCAATACAGACTTATGGGGAATCTCCTAAGGGCAATCTGATGCGGAAATACTAAAAAAAAAAAAAGGAGATACTCTTTCTATTCTGAAGGTGCCTACATTCTTGTAACTCTCAGGTAGAAATCCACACTATTTCAATTTTTGTTAACCTGGAGAAATTCTACTCAGTGGTGAAATCCCATATCGAAAATTACTTTTTCTGTGAAAATGTCCTCTACTCCCAACTTCATTATAAATACAATACCATTCTCTCATCAGAGTTTCACTGGTACTTGGTTTAGCCACTAATACAGTAAGTGTATTAATACAATATGTGCTCTATTGATGAGCAGGTCCACTTCCTCTATTAGATTATGAGCTATTTGAAAGCAAGCATCATATTATACATACTAACAAACTGCCAGTGTCTAGATTACTGGCAAACACAAAAGGGCATTAGTTAGCATCTGTTGGATGCTGAACAAACGTTATGAAAAAGTGAAAACAGCATTGACCTCCATAAACCAGAACAGTGCTTCTCTATAAAAGCAATCTAAGTAGCATATTACTATTAACACAAAGGTAAGAATCACATAATCAGCATGATATCTTATAAAGACTTTTGAAGTCAGAGTTTAACTTGTCAATGTCACAGTGTTTTTTCTGAAATAAGAATAGAGGTGAGCTGGCCGGCCCGGTGGCGCACTGCTGTAGTGCGCCGCTTGGGAAGCGTGGCGGCGCTCCCACCGAGGGTTCGGATCCCACATACAGACCGGTTCCCGCTCACTGGCTGAGCGAGGCGCGGGAGCAACACCGAGGGTTGCGATCCCGTTGCTGGTCCTGGTCCGGGACGGGGGCAACACTTAGGGTTGCGATCCGTTGCCGGACACGGAAAAAGACAAAAAAAAAAAAAAGAATAGAGGTGAGCTGGCCGGCCCGGTGGCGCACTGCTGTAGTGCGCCGCTTGGGAAGCGTGGCGGCGCGCCCACCGAGGGTTCGGATCCCACATACAGACCGGTTCCCGCTCACTGGCTGAGCGAGGCGCGGGAGCAACACCGAGGGTTGCGATCCCGTTGCTGGTCCTGGTCCGGGACGGGGGCAACACTTAGGGTTGCGATCCGTTGCCGGACACGGAAAAAGACAAAAAAAAAAAAAAGAATAGAGGTGAGAAACTTTCTGAAAGAAGATTAAGTCTTAAGAGTCCAGTCTATTACTTACTTCAGTGTGCATTTCAGTATCTAAGATGAACTTGGTCACAAGCCCACAATGCAGAATAGAGAAGACCTCCATGTCCAGCTCTCGGAAGAAAGCACGGTAATTCTGTAGTGACACTGATGTCTTTTCTTCCTTCCCTGTGAACTCCTTGGGGGAAAGTAGCGTAACCAAGAAAATAAATGTCTTCTACACTAGTCTAAGTTTTAATGAAGATTCTAAAATGCAAATATGCACTCATTTTATGCGGAAAGTTTTATTTTCATCACAACACCAACTTCCTTTCACCGAAGTTCTACATATTCCTGAGACAGAGCACTTAATTTATTTTTTGTTTCTTTTTTTTTTTTGCTACCTGGCTGAGAACTTAATTTAATATGGGGATATAAGTCAAACATCAAGACCATTGGTAGGTTTCTACTTAGGAATGAACTATTAGGCAAATTAAGGCATTATGGTATGGTATAGAAAACTATGGGCTGATGGGCCAGAAAGAAGTAGAATCAAATCCTAGCTCAAGCAGTTATTAACTGTGTGACCTTGCGCAAGTTACTTATCCTCACTGGGCCTTACTTTCTTCATCTATTAAATGTGTATATTAATACTAAGCTTGGGTTTTTAGGAGGATTAGAGGAGTTACACATAATAAATACACAATAAATGGTAGCTGAAACACAGAAATAATTGGGATCCACGTGGTCCAGGAAATTTCACAAATTAATAAGACCTATTCTGTGAATGGTACAAAGTTACAGGGAAAGAGAACTATTGTTACTCAAGTATCAGAAACTATACTAAGCATTTCATGTTATCTCGATTCATTGAGAAGTTGACAATCTGGGACTAGAAGGGGAAAGAGGCTAAAAGAAGTATATATAAACTACATTGTAAGACAGAATTTGATTACTGCTGCAAGAGAGAATTCAAAGTACTGTTGGGGTGCAAAAAGGGAGTAAAACATTCAAGAAAATAATTATAATCAACAACAGTGTGTAATAGGGTGAAGGACTTAAAGTCTAACCTGAACGTTGCTACTAAGAAGGTAATTCCAAGGCCTAGATTTCATTTGCCCTTCTATTCCTTAACTTTTTCCTTTGTAAAATGCAGAAAATAAAGCTGGCCCTGTCAATCTCACTGGGCTGTCACACATCTTCATCGCTACCGATCATTCCAATACCTTGTCCAGTTGGCTTCTATCACACAGTGTAGGGTCATGACGTTCTGAATAATCCTCCTTTGAAAGTGTGTCCGGGGAGGATGTTTTGCTGCCATCTGCTTTTCTTTTCCTTCCTCCTTTTATTACAAAAAGAAAAAAGTGACTCAAATAATCAATAATCATGTTTGCCAAATATCACTGCCCTCAGGAAATAATCTGTTGAAGACTTCCTAGAAATAGAAGAGGTAATTTTATAACCTTAAATTATAGTGCATATATAACCGTGCTCAATTACATAATCTCTCCAATTACTGATGCCTTGATAAACATAACCTCTCAGGTTAATTCAATGCAGCTTATATAGAGATATAAGATAAGAAGAAAAGAATATACTCACCCATCTTTCCTTTTTTTCTGATTTTTGTTGAAATAGCAGTACTGGTATGAGGTGTTATATGTAAAGTTTCCAAGTCAAAGTTTGCAAGAGGAGGAACATAGTCTGGAGTGACTGAAACAAAGAGCAGGCAGGAGCGCAGTATATACCAACCATATTCCACCATTAGACTTGGAACGCAATCACCCGACTGGCTAAACACTAGTTTCCAAAATTACCGTGTTTATAAGATACATTCAATTCCTCTGACATTGTTTTGACATAGCAAAATGGCCAGAGGTAACTTATAGAAATATCAGATTTATTGATTATGATCAATTAACATAAAATAATTCTAAATAATGATATAAAATAGCCAAGCAGGTAAGGATTAAAAATAAATTTACACTTAAAATCTAAAGATATTAACATTATTTGGTAACACAGCAGTTTGTTTTACATACACTTATTTTAGCTGAGGGTCAGAGGGAGGCTACATATATTCCCCAGAGAATCAAGCTAGCACTTTAAAATGACTAGTTCACTTAATGGTCAGAAGATACTAAGAGATCTTTCATCTTTACTCCTGGTTCATGACTATGTTCAGAGGCTGGCCTGTTAGTTCAGCTGGTTAGAGTGTAGCCTTATAACACCAAGGTCACGGGTTCTGATACCCTTACCGGCCAGCCATCAAAAAACAACAACAACAAAAAAGAATCATGACTATGTTCAGGAAGGCAAAGGTTACTGGAAGTTTGACCACCAATGTAGGTACGTAAGTTTAAAACAGCCCAACTAATGTTTTCTATTTTCTATTTTCTCAAATAGTAAGATCTTTAGGAGGTATCAATGGGAGCAAAATTGATATACTCATTAAAAATTTTGTTTAGCGTACATTTTCCTTGACCCAGAGGAGTAGGGGACAGGTATCACTGTGCCTGGTTTAAAAGATAAGTTCTTGGTTGGCCAGTTAGCTCAGTTGGTTAGAGCATGGCATTGTAACACCAAGGTCAAAGGTTTGGATCCCCATACTGGCCAACTGCCAAAAAAAAATACTAAGTTCCTTATTCCCTCACCACTGACCTAGTAGGGCTACCAGTATAGGACACTTTCCTTACCTACAATATACTTTTCCAGGATTTTCTGCAGTTCTACAATGTGCTTTAAACGTGTGAGCACCTTCCCCTTCATCTCAGGTGATGTCTGACTGCAGAAAGCATTCACAACCTATAAAGTACAAATCATATTCTCATGCTTTGAAAAGTTCAGATTTTAACTTTGTTTGCATTATTCATCCAGAGCTGAAAGATGCCATTGAACTGCAGGATCTGTGAGTTTAATCTGTGATGTACAAGCGTTCTCAGCAAGGGGGTGGAGAAAAAAATCCCTGGTCCAAAATACAGGAGAGATGACTTTTAATCCTAGTTCTACTTATTGCTAGTTATGTAACAAGGTGAAATAGCTAGAGGGCACACACTTGGTGAAACAAGTCCTATTCTACTACTTACTAACTGTGTGACTTTGGCTGACTCTTTAAACTTTCTGAGATTTTATTTCTTCAATTATAAAATGGGAATGTAATTGTTGTATGAATTAAGTACAGATTAAACATTCCTAATACAAAAACCTAAAATCTGAAATGCTCCAAAATCTGAAACATCTACAACACCTACATGATCTTCAAAGGAGCATTTCAGATTTTGGGTTAGAGATACTCAACTGGTTAGGTATTCTACAAATATTCCAAAATCCAAGAAAATCCAAAATCCAAAATACTTCTGGCCCCAAGCATTTTGGATAAAGATACTCAACAACCTGTAGTATAAAAAAAGAAATTAGCCTAGCACGTGGTACAGTGCTTAATAACTTTTAATGACTTTGAACTCTCTGTACTTGAAATTCCGTGTATGTAAAATAAGGACAATACTTGTCCTATAAGCTGAGCTGTGAGAATCAAATGAGCTCATTCAAGCACATAAACATTCTCTGAAATAATGAGAGCGAGGAAGGCAGTAAAAAAGAGATGTGGATGTTGCCATCATTGTCATTACTATTATTAAGCACAAATATGTTCTAAAGGAAGGGTAACTATCATTCACTCATCTCACTGAAATCAAAACAGTAAGGGTATGCCTGTGCTAGGATGAGCAGTGTTTCCATGGTGGAGAAGGTGAGGAGGTTATTCTAGGCAGAAGTAAGAATACAAGAGGTCGTGGAGGAAGTAAAGCATGGGCAACACGAGGTGAATTCTAAGTACTGTATATTTTTTTATTATTATTTTTATTATTATTTTTTATTCCTTTTTGTCTTTTTTTACTGACCGGTAACGGGATCGCAACCCTCGGTGTTGTGCCCGCACCGCGCTCAGCCAGTGAGCGGGAACCGGTCTCCACATGGGATCCGAACCCTCGGCGGGAGCACCGCCACACTCCCAAGCGGCGCACTGTCCAGTGCACTACTGGGCCGGCCCTAAGTACTGTATTTTGATTTGGCTACACCAAGAGGTACATATAATAGGGGAGTGGTAGGACGTAACACCTAGAGAAGCACACATGGGTTAGTACTTGGTGGAGACTTTTTATTTTATTTTATTTTTTTGTCTTTTTTCCGTGTCCGGCAACGGATCGCAACCCTCAGTGTCGCCCCCGTACCGGACCGGGACCGGCAACGGGATCGCAACCCTCGGTGTTGCCCCCGCACCTCGCTCAGCCAGTGAGCGGGAACCGGTCTGTATGTGGGATCCGAACCCTCGGGCGGGAGCGCCGCCGCGCTTCCCAAGCGGCGCACTATCCAGTGCGCCACCGGGCCGGCCCCGGTGGAGACTTTTTAGGGAGTCTTTTGAGAACCAAAAAAGTAGTTTTCTTTTGACAGAAACTATGGACAATAGGAAAAATGTTCCAGTAAATATGCTCACCTCTCGGAACCAGTTGAGAGTAAGAAATATGAGTGAACACATGAATGAACGCTCTTTAGCAGACATGGACTCCACACTCTCTCCAGGCTCCAGGTCAGTGAGGAAGATAGGACAATCTGAGAGAAAAGAACAAACATTCTAACTCCCTTTAGTTCAAGCCAGTAGAATCTGGATGCCCCTAGAGCTAGCTCTCCTTGCTACTTACTTTCTACTTTAAGGCCAAGCTTTGATTGGTCTCAAAAAATACTCCCATATTATATAGCAATCAACAAATATAATTAGAAAGTTTTTGCATCAATTATAGAGGCAAGGGCCAGGAAGAAAATGGAACTATGATAACAACTGATTTGTTAACATAATGGGATTCTGTATTTTGCCTCTGAAATCCATTATTATTTCTATACTACTCTGTGAAGTTAGAAAATTCCTTCCAAATATGTACTGGTTTGCATCTTCCCTAAGTTTACCAAAAAAGGGTCACAAATAATAAAGAATCTTTGACTTCATCCTATACCTAATAGACCATCAATCTCCTCCAAGTTTCCATTATGTTGTCTATCCACACAAAGTCTCAGTAACCGGAAATAGGGAGCCAGACACAATGGAGACACCAATCTGGAAAGAAAAAAATCCATTTCTAGAACATATTTTATAGACATATTAGTCCATGTTTACAGAGAGCTCAACTTTATAATTAAAGAGTTTGTTTTTTGTTTGGTTATTTTTTTTGGCAGTTGGCCAGTACAGGGATCCAAACTCTTGGTGTTATAACACCACACTCTAACCAACTGAGCTAACTGGTCAGCTCCTATAATTAAAGAGTTTTGCCCAAAATAAATGTCTAATTTTAAGAATAAATGGCAAGGAACTTAACAGATGCTCAGTGATAAATAATGAACGTTATTGTAGGAAGGCAGGGGTATGGTGGAGTGAATATCCATGTGTTAGGAGAAGATAAAAGAAGGGAGTAAGAGAAACAGAGGTAGTCAAGAATGCTCATGGGAGGAAAACAAGGGGTAAGGAACAGAAAAAACAGTCTCAAAGAATATCTGTTGGCTGTCATAAGGCAATACAAATCTCAACCCCAGGGTCCAAGAAAACAAGGAATCTGCCCCATTCTCGGTAACCCTTCCAACTGAGATCACACATGCAGATAGGACTCTAGATACTCATTTAAATGTAGGATCTTCTTTAGTCACAACGGGTCTGCTCCTTGGTTGTTTTTTTTTTTTTTGGCAGCTGGCCAGTACAAGGATACAAATCCTTGACCTTGGTTTTATTAACACTGCCTTCTAACCAACTGAGCTAACCCACCAGCCCCCCCAAATATTTGGAAGTATTTGGATTACTTCCAAATACCACTTGTTCTGGGAGAAACCCTTTTGACTCAAGTTCCCCACAAACTGAAAGAATTGTGGAATTCCCTGTGAATATTCAAAACACCAACAGAAGGAAAAACAAAAAATAAAAAACTGTACTGACTTTTGGCTTGATTGCTGTGAAGCAATTTGATCCCCATCTCTTGCAAAGTCCTGAGAGAACAACAATGGCAGGAGGTTAACAGCAATCCCATCACGAGTATTGTATTCTTCCAGTCCATAGAGAGCTTTCACAGGAAATGGAAAGTCACTGTGGAAAGAACACAAAATATGATGTCCCAGCTCAGAGGTAAGCAAAGCTATGGGGGAAACTACTAGAACAAACTAATTTCAAACAAAACTATTATGGGGAGAAATTAGAAACAGGAACAAGAAATGGGGAATCCATTAGCAATTCTGGAGCTGGGGTGCAGGGGTGTTGGGAGGAAAGAAGTTGTGGGAGTGGGCAGACTTGGCTGAAGTCAAGGGTATTCTGAAGTTTGTATCAGCTACTGACAGAACAGACATAACTTCTTCCCCAGTACAACCAAGCCAGTAGGTAAACAGTACATACCCTTCTGGAACAACACAGCAGTCCACCACAAAGGCATCTTGGAAATCATTAAAGATGGTCTCCCTAACCCATTCCTTCAGGAAGCAAACAAACAAAAAAGGCAACGTAGTCCGAAGTATACTTGCTGTAGAGCCCTAGACAAATTACTGTTAATCTTTCTAAGCCTCAGTTTCCTTATGTCACACCTCATTATTGGCAGTAGAAAAGAGATAACACATGAAAAGTGCTTAGCACACTGCCTGGCATAGAACAGGGCTCTCAAACAGGTGGTGGCTATAAACATCATCATCAACAACAACATCCTCCTCCTAGTTACTAGCATTATTGTTATTATGTGCAGGAGGCCTCGGGAGAGCCCTGAGGCAGAACAGCCTTCCCAGCTAAAATTTGGTAGCACTCATAGGACGATCTACTTTCGTACTGCAACAGAGAGAAGGTCTTGAAGTATGTGCAGTAAAGTAGCTCTCATGCTTTATTGCTTTTAAAAAAAGACAACTGGCCTTACCAGGGCTTTTGGAGCCAGCTTTTCCCCTTGGATCAGGTTGGCAAATTCATCATAATAAAGTGCAGAGGCCCAAGGAGACTGCTCACTACAGGAATGAACCAACTGCAGCAAGGAGGTCACCTGGAACAGCCGAAGAGAAAGAATAGTTCAACCCTTGGGCTGCCAACCCTTCCTAAATTCCATTCACCCCATTCAACAGCAAGTTTTTTTCTTTCCAACCTTACTGGCAAAAGCTCTGCCTCTCTTGGGCTGGCCCATGGCTGACTTGGGAGAGTGTGGTGCCGATAACACCACGGCCATGGGTTTGGATCCCATATAGGGATGGCTGGTTCGCTCACTTGGGAGAGCATGGTGCTGACAACACCAAGTCAAGGGTTAAGATACCCTTACCAGTCATCTTTATAAAAAAAAAAGCTCTGCCTGTCATCTGAGGTTTTCCTGAGCCTCCTTTGTAATCTTTCTATCTCTTTCTAATCTAATTTCTTTTCTAATACTTCAGACACATGCAGTCAGATTAATTTTTCTGAAGCAAAGCTGTGATTATGCCATTTCTGTGCTAAGAAACTCTTAAGGACTACCTCTGCCTAAAAAATGAAATAAAAACATCTTGCTTGACATTTAAGACCCTCTATTTTCTATCTCTGAACTAGCTTTCTAACTTTCCAATTATACACTTATTTGTCTCTATGCTTCAACCGACCTGCTATTCTTTAAACATGGCCTATCCTTCTTGCTAAGAATTTACAATTTATTTAGAGATTAGACAGACACAGAAATAAATGCAACCTAAGCCAGGAGATTCTAAGAGCCATAAGAATGGTACAAATGACAAAAGCAATGAGATCAGGAAGACATATTTTTAAAAAGAAGCACTCTTTCTGATTAACTGACAGTGACAAGAAGCAATTCCTTGGTTACTCATAAACATATATGACTATATTATAAGAACCCACCTGTGTGCACTGTTCATTGCTCAGGTCGGCCCTCCCTTGGGTCGAACTAGCAGATCTTCTAAAAAGAAGGAATTTTAGTTTCATTTTTGCAATATTTTGTAACAACTGACAATAAATCTAAGAATCCTGCCTTTCTTGGGGAAGTGGTGGAGATAAAAGTGCATGAAGGAACGAAGGAGCATTTATTTTGTCCATATAAAATGTAGATTTGAGGGCTGGCCCGTGGCTCACTTGGGAGAGTGTGGTGCTGATAACACCAAGGCCACAGGTTCAGATCCCTATATAGGGATGGCCGGTTAGCTCACTTGGTCAAGAGCATGGTGCTGACAACACCAAGTCAAGGGTTAAGATCCCCTTACCAGTCATCTTTAAAAAAATATATATATATATGGATTTGGTTGTCCGGTTGGCTCACTTGGAAGAGAGTGTTGCTGGTAACACCAAGGTCAAGGGTTCAGATCCCCTTACTGGCCAGCTGCCAAGAAAATGTGGATTAAAGTAAAGGATGCTCTCATACCTATGTTTTAAAGGCATGCTAAATTCATAATAATAAGAGCAAACACTTTTTTAGTGCATACTATGTGCTGGGCATTGAAGTAATACTATTATCCTTATTTCACACATGTGAGACTACAAAGGCAGAGAGAGGTGTAAAGTAACTTATGCAAGGTCATTCAGCTAATAAACAATGGAGCCAGGATTTGACACCAGGCAAGCAATATGGCTTCAGTGAAGGAACTCTTAATCAGTACAATATGCAGCCTCTTGTATTATTAATACTGATTCTAAGGATGTCTCCTGAGGTCTCAGGAGTTACTGACAAATAATTTCCAAAGAGCATGAACTGAATTCCAAGGTCAGTTTCCAATGGTAACATCTTATCAAGTCCCAAATCTGATGTTTCTTTAGACGTTACAATTGGGGCATCAAAAAGCAAAAGGGGGAAATCCACAAGGAAGACCTTATTTGTGCCATTCATGAAGTTCCAGATAGGAATATCACAGCAATACAGAAACCCAAATTGTCTAGTACCTAGGTCAGGAGGAGATACAGAAAAATGCACTGCAGAGGGATCAGAGTTCCCCTTTTGTGGAAAGATTTCTATCACTTTATCTCTGTCCAATCCCTATTTTTAACCATCATGTTGTAATGATTACAATCACAATTCTGTAACAATTATACACGGTATATACAGTCATGATTAGAAGGGAATATGGAAAAGCAGCAAAAACACAGTTGCTCACTTCTCTCACAGTTTTTTTTTTTTTTTGTCTTTTTCCGTGTCCGGCAATGGATCGCAACCCTCAGTGTGGCCCGCGTACCAGACCGGGACCAGCAACAGGATCGCAACCCTCGGCGTTGCTCCCGCGCCTCGCTCAGCCAGTGAGCGGGAACCGGTCTGCATGTGGGATCCGAACCCTCGGCGGGAGCGCCGCCGTGCTTCCCAAGCAGCACACTATAGCAGTGCGCCACCGGGCCGGCCCCTCTCACAGTTTTAATGTCTACTGTTAGAATGATGTCTGTGCAATGTAACGCTTTTATTTTGTAAGGCAGCAACTCAATTGATCTTGAACCACAGAAGCCAGGGTCTCCGTGCCTACCTGTCTGCCGCCATGATGCCAGCCATGGTGACGGCGCCAATAATCCCAATTAGTTTGTACCTGAATATGGTGCTAGAGAGCTGCTTTCGTATCACCAGGTGCATGTCATCCTGCAATGAGACAGTGATAGAGAAAAATGAAGATGCTGAGGTGGCACAGTAAAAGAGCGTATGGATATTGGAGCCAAAAAATCTAGACTAGGAGGGGTTCTATCATTTACTAACTGTGTGGCCTTTAGAAAGTCTTTCATCTCCCTGAGTCTCAATTTTCTCATCTATGCAATGAGGAAGGTTGTTTTAAGGATTAGAGACAAGTCATGAAAAATTCCTAGAACAGTGCCCAGCACATGATAGATATTCAAAAATAATAGCTGCTATTATTTTTGTGCTCAGATAAAATAATGAAGTAGAATAAAATACTTAGGTATAAACTTAATCAAGGAGGTGAAAGACTTATATATTAAAAACTACAAAACACTGCTGAAAGAAATCAAAGACCTAAATAAATGGAAAGATATCTCATGTTCCTGAATTGGGAGACTTAATTTTGCTATGACAATACTGCTCAAAATGATTCAATGCAATCCTTATCAAAATCCCAACAACATTTTTTCCAAAACCAGAAAAACTCATACTAAAATTCATATGGAATTTCAAGGGACCCCAGATAAAATAGCCAAAACAATCGTGAAAATGAACAAAGTCGGAGCGCTCACATTACTGATTTCAAAATTACTACAGAGCTGGCTAGTTAGCTCACTTGGGAGAGCAAAGTGGTGATAACACCAAGGTCATGGTTGGGATCCCCGTACTAGTCAGCCACCAAAAACAAACAAACAAACAAACAAACAAAATTTCTACAAAGCTACAGTTATCAAAAAACAGTGTGGTACTGGCATAACGACAGACATATAGATCAATGGAATAGAATAGAAAGTACAGAAATAAACCTTTGCATCTGTGATCTATATTACATATATCAACTTACATATGAAGCAAACTCCAAAATATAATGCTCAATGCAAAAAGCAAAATGTAGGACAAGAGGGGAAAGGGGTGACTATAGATAAATACAAATTTGTAAATGTTCAGAACATCTCAGAAGGCTACATAGTAGTAAAAGTAATTGCCTTTAGGAGACAAACCAGATGCCTAGAGGACTCAGAGTGAGAGTTATTTTTCACTGTATATACCCTTCTATACATTTTGAATTTTGTATTGTGTATATATTACCTAGCCAAAAAAAATTTTTTAATTAAAAAAAAGGTGCTAGTTATTCCAAGTCACAGTCTAGTATGGATTGTTGGCACAAGGTGGCACTAAAGATACAAAAGAACTGTGAGTTATGATTATATCCTAATTTCTTCTTTCACTGGATTTTTCAGTAAATGGTATCCACAAATGAAAGCCTGCCCAGGTGAAGTTCATGCTAGATATACATGTTTCTTATGAAACAAGGGAATTCTGTGTCCCCACAGCACTGAACCTAAATGGCTTTTCTCAGTTTCATAGTTAGCTGATCACAGATCCATCTCCATCCTAATAGACAAAGCTTCTTTAGGGCAGAACACCTGATATACCTAGCATCTCAGCTCCTGGCACAGAGTAGGCACTTAATGTTTATGGTAAGAAAAGAATGAAAAAATGCTGGGACTGTGGCTATGTACTTTATTTCTACTACTACACAGGCTGAAGTGATTTTCTCCAGCAAACTCCAAATAAAGAGGCTTAAAAGATTCTTTCTCAACATACTACCTCTTACCTGGATATGGCTGCTGGCTTCATGTTGTTTGCTAAATGCCAGTGTGCTGAGAATATAGAAGAGTTTTCGTATTTGCTGAGGGGACATATTATCCAGATAATCCAAAATGCTCTGTGAGAAAAAGAAATGCCAACAATGAGGCTAGCACCTAACCCTTCTTCCCTTTAAAAGAAAAAAATTAAAATCCTTGAGACATACATATAGATGGCCACATAGATAGTTCCCTAAAAGCTTAAGTTTTAAAAGCTATGCTCAGGGCCCAATGGTTTGATATTCTGGATATAAGCTGAGAGGGCTCTTGCAGCTTTCTATTTTTTTTTTTTTTTTTAACGATGACCGGTAAGGGGATCTTAACCCTTGACTTGGTGTTGTCAGCACCACGCTCACCCAATGAGCTAACCGGCCATCCCTATATGAGATCCAAACCGCCTTGACTTGGTGTTGTCAGCACCACGCTCACCCAATGAGCTAACTGGCCATCCCTATATGAGATCCAAACTGATGGCCTTGGTGTTATCAGCATCACACTTTCCCGAGTGAGCTACAGGCCGACCCCTGCAGCTTTCTAAATCTATCATATTATCAGAGGCTAGGTACCATCACCAGGAAGGATAAAGTCTTATTTGTCCTCTTTACTCTGAAGCACAGTCTTGGGCTTTAAACACCTCCTGCTTAGTCATCCTAATGTGCCTCCCATTTCTCCATATTCTTTACCTCTACCCTTCTCTTTTTCTTCATGAAAACAATATCCCATTAAAAGTCATGTTTCTGGGCCGGCCTGTGGCTCACTCAGGAGAGTGTGGTGCTGATAACACCAAGGCCACGGGTTCGGATCCCATATAGGGATGGCCGGTTTGCTCACTGGGTGAGCGTGGTGCTGACAACACCAAGTTAAGGGTTAAGATCCCCTTACAGGTCATCTTTAAAAAAAAAAAAAAAAAGTCATGTTTTTGACCCTATTTTCTTGCCATACCATCCCTTCCCAGCTTCTATCCCATGAATTATTTATCCTTGCCCTACACATCTGAAAGGAGTCACAAGGAAACTATTTACTTTTTTTTTTTTTCTTTTTGTCTTTTTTTGTGACCGGCAACGGGATCGCAACCCTCGGTGTTGCGCCCGCACCTCGCTCAGCCAGTGAGCTGCCAGTCTGTATGTGGGATCTGAACCCTCGGCGGGAGCGCCGCCGTGCGCCCAAGCAGCGCACTATAGCAGTGCGCCACCGGGCCGGCCCCTATTTACTTTTTGACCTTGGCTTTCTCACCTCTAACATGGGGATAATAATAGCTATAATACCTTCCAAAGTTGGTCTGAGGATAAATAAAAGAGCTTTGAACACTTTTAATTAATTAAAAAGTTTTTTCCATAGTTCCTTTCCATTAAATCCTTCTCAGCCAGCAAATCTCAAACCTCCTCATCTAAAAAATATCTTCCTTGCAACCTGCTTCTTCCTCAAGCTACTTTTCTTATTCTCTCTTCCTTGAGGCTTCTCAACATTGAATCTATACTCCAGTCTCTACTTCTGCAAGTCACTGGTCTCTGGCTTCCAACCTTATTATTCAATTAATACCTCTCTCAGAGGTTACCAAAGCTATCCTAATTGCCAAAGCCAATGGACTCTTCTCTGTCTTCATCCTCTGTAGCACCCAGCCTTGTAGACAAACGCCTCACTCTTGAAGCTCTCTCTTTCCTAGGCTTTTGCTACCCCACATCATTCTAGTGCATGTTAATCATCTTTTAGTCTTCTCATTTTCCTTCCATGGACATTTGCTTCAGCCTGCCACTTAAACATTAACGTTCTCAAAATTTCTGTGCTCTCCTAAGCTTCTACGATCTTCTGCCTCAAAATATGACTCACTTGAGTTCACACCTATATGGTTATGAATACTCAAAATAAACCTTCCACCAAATGGTGCTTATTGGCTCCAAACCAGAATTTCCAACTATCCTCTGACCATCCACACACGGACATCTTAAACTGAAATTGTCTCACTTCTTCCAAAAGATGCACTCCCTCCTGGTCTCCTGAGCTCAGGAAATGGCACAATCACTCACCCAGTTTCCTAAGGTAGAAAACTTGAATCTAGTTTCCCTGTTCCTCATTGCTATGTACTCTTGGCAGTCATGTTAATGCTAACACCAAATTGTTTCTTAAGTCATCATTCCTTCTCCATCCCCATGATCCTAATTTTGGCCCTTACTCTCACTCCCCTTGATCATTTATTTCAGTGGCCTCCAATCCACCCACCACATGGCCTACAGAGCTATCTTTCAAAGCCCAGACTTGATTAGGTCAACTCGCTATAAAACCCTATAATGGCTTCCTATGGTTTATAAAATAAAGTTGAGGGCTGGCCCGCAGCTCACTTGGGAGAGTGCAGTGCTGATAACACCAAGGCCACAGGTTCGGATCCTATATAGGGATGGCCGGTTTGCTCACTTGGGAGAGCCTGGTGCTAACAACACCAAGTAAAGGGTTAAGATCCCCTTACCGGTCATCTTTTTAAAAAAAATAATAATAAAAAAATAAAATGGGCCGGCCGGTGGCGCACTCAGTAGAGTGCGGCGCTTGAGAGTGCGGCAGCACTCCCGCCGAGGGTTCAGATCACATATAGAGACCGGTCCGCTCACTGGTTGAGCGCGGTGCGGGCGCGACACCAAGGGTTGCGATCCCGTTACCGGTCACGAAAAAAGACAAAAAGGAAAAATAAATAAATAAATAAGTTTAAGAAGAATCACATTAAAAAAATAATAATAAATAAATAAAAAATAATAAAAAATAAAATAAAATAAAATAAAGTTGAAACTCTTTAGCATGGAATTTGAGACCCTTCACAACCTGTCCCTGTCCCATGTCTTACAAGCCCAACCTCCCACCACTCCTCACCATATATCCTATTCTCCAGCCATACTAGTCTACTTGTCATCCCTCAGGCATACCATGGACTTGGGCATCAATTTGCTTCTGTTCAAACTGTTCTCTGCCTAGAATGAACTTCTCTTACTTTCTCTCATCAATCATTCCCATCTTTCAAGAATCACTTAAATGTTATCTCCTGTTTGAAGACTTCTCCAGCTCCCCAGGCCAATTTAATTACTCCTGCTTAGTTGTATCAATAGCACTTTATCCTTATTAGAAAATTCATCATATCGAGCCGGCCCGTGGCTCACTTGGGAGAGTGCAGTGCTGATAACACCAAAGCCCCGGGTTTGGATCCCATATAGGGATGGCCGGTTCGCTCACTGGCTGAGCGTGGTGCTGACAACACCAAGTCAAGGGTTAAGATCCCCTTACCGGTCATCTTTAAAAAAAAAAAAAGAAAAAATTCATCATATTGTATTTACAGTGACTTGCTTATATGTTTTAGTTTCTATCATCAAAAGCAAGAACCAATCTTTATGTCCGCATAAAGGAACAGACCTTGGTAGTTAGGTATAAAGAAGTGTTTGCTGAATGAATTAATACATAGATAATTAGTCATTTTTTTACATTACTTGTCCATGATCTCACCTCCTTCCCACCCCCTCCCACCAATCATAGTGCTCAGTACCTAAAGAGGATAAAATAAATGATTGCTAACAAACAGATATCAGATAATTTTCAAATACATGCAAAAAAGAAAAGCGATTCAATATATAACAGTGGAGCCAACAGATACCTTCACAAAGACAGCATTTAGCCTCATAGCAGATGGCTTTAGTACTACCAACTCTAGGAGGAGATCCAATGCAGTATCAACTTCAGTTTCATTCCCACTGCAGACATGTGTCACTAGTGCACCAACCACTTCCTATACAGGAGAGTCAACAGGACAGTGTGAAGCAAAAAATATGGTATGGCCATTCAAAAGGGGTTTATGCCTGAGGCCTTTCCAATCTCTACTTTGTTAAAATCATAATCCACCTGATCCCCTTGTCTATTACCTAGTTTTCATTAATGTTGGCTTCAGGAGGCTTAGAATTATGCCAATGTAACTACACTACCATCTAGTCTTGACCTATTTCCCATAATTTATCAGTGAGCACTATCTAAGCCCTCTCGATTTTGCTCCTTGGTGTAGTCGTCTTCTTTTTTCATCCCATACGGGTTAAACTTGACCCTTTAACTGTGGTTGTGCTTAATCTGTTGAAATTTCTTAAAAAGATGACACTCAAAGACCTAAAGGTTTTCTCTCTACAGTACAACTTAGGCTTGCATGTTTCCACGAGTCATGACAGTGCCTCTAAAATGTAAAAAATATCTTAGATGCCATTCTCCCTTTCCATAACAGAGCAATAACAGAATTATAATCTTAATTGCAATAGCTAGTTTATGTCAGCTGCATTTACTGCTCTGCTTAAAATTTAAAAAGGTTTTTTCACATATTCATTTGTAAAAGTTCCATTAAAATATGTTTTAACATTGTCAATAATAGGTATAGTATACATAAAAATACAAAATAAGACACTTTGTCCTCTACTTGCTTTCGTAATCCCTTTCCACAAGCACAGCCTTCCCTCTCTGGAGATTTGCTATTAAATGTTGTGTCTCGAGTTCATTGGAATAGGGTTAGGCCCTCAGGCATTTCTCATTCATTTGTTTTTCACCACACCTTTTTCTAGAGAACCAACTCCAGGATCAACCATAAGTTGATTATTTACAGCTAAATTTCACTGCCATTCCTGTATTATAAAAACGACTTGATAACCCCAGCCCTTTAAGCCAAAGTTTATTCCAAGTAAACTGGAGCTGGACCTTAGTTTTAGACTCAGAGAGAATTTTAGAGCTCAGAATACAGAGTTAGATCCTCCAGTCCAGCCTCTTCATTTCTTCATGGTTGGGACTAGAACTGAGCTTTCCAAACCCCAGTTCAGAGTTCTTTCCCCTTCAATGCCTTCCAACCAACAAGAAATAAACATCAGAACACATGCCATTCACTTGGAACTGAATTTATTTCCTTTTCCCTGTTCCCTCCTTGCCAAAATAAATATTTCAACATACCTGCTGGCAGTAAGTGTCAAAAAACTTAAATGCATATTTGTATAGGAGACTGCCAAACGAAATTATACGCTGGTCTACGGAGTGAAACAAACTCTGAGCCAGCAACAGAATGGACGGACAAACATCCTTAAGAACCTTGAGGAGGGAAGAGTAGAGAATAAAGAAGCTATGGGAAAACTTAGTTATTACAGAATCTAAGAATTGCTCACCCTGTTGGCTGTTAGAGTGCTCCTCCCCAACTCTCCTTTTAATTTAAGGAATATTAATCTTTGTTTTACTCAGAATAATCCTTTACCATTCTTTGTTTCCTCTCAGGATCAATGGGATTCTACATATGGATAAGAATTGACCTTGACACTCAAAGAAGTTAAATTACAAGCCTAATATTACCGTTCCTATCTGCCCAGTTTGGGATTAAAAGCCAGATCTTCTTTTTTTTTTTTTTTGTCCTTTTTGAGACCGGCCGCACCGCGCTCAGCCAGTGAGCACTATGAACGCACCGGTCATCCCTATATAGGATCCGAACCTGCGGCAGGAGCTCCCAGCGCCGCACCCTCCCGAGTGCGCCACAGGCTCGGCCCTAGAAGCCAGATCTTCTAAATCCCAGTTTCCTCACTCAATCATACTGCCTCTCTGGAGAGGTCTGCTCTGCCTCGATTATGATTTGAAATTAGTCTATAAGATTCAATGCTGGGCCGGCCCGTGGCTCACTCGGGAGAGTGTGGTGCTGATAACACCAAGTCCACGGGTTCGGATCCCATATAGGGATGGCCGGTTAGCTCACTGGGTGAGCGTGGTGCTGACAACACCAAGTCAAGGGTTAAGATCCCCTTACCAGTCATCTTTAAAAAAAAAAAAAAAAAAAAAAAAAGATTCAATGCTAACTAAACTCATTTCTTTTAAAGAAGATCAAGAGAGTGATCGTGCCTTACCAATAATGAAATATAGATGTACAATAACGGACCCAGAGTAAATAACCAGTTAATAAGTCTAGCTTCTTTACTGATATCACAATTTTTAGAAAAAAACTTATATTAAGTATTGAACTGGATATAATGCTTTAATGGGGAAACCCTGCAATGAAAAATTATATATGGTTTCTGCCCTATGGATAATTACAACCCAAAACATATATAACTGCCAGAAATAAACATAGAAAAGAATGCGAGATAAAATAATGCAAACGTTAAGCTCATTCCTAAATATAAAATCTTAAGACCCAAGTATATATTCTCATTAGTTCCTGAGCCAAGCCCAAAACCACTAGCCCATCCAGTTTTCTAAGTTCTACACTGTTAATATCTTGAATATTCATCTGGCAAAACACTATTTCCAGCTTACAAAATTCCGACTTGAATGGTTTACCTTTCGAGAGGAATCAACACCTAAGGTTCACGGTGTTAAATAGTCAAATAGGGATGGTACGACAGATTCATATTTATGTCTTTACTGGCATTCCTCTAGTTCTATTTTCCTCAGGATTTTTATAAACTACTTAGAACAGGATACACAAGGCAAGTTTGCCAAAGCTGCAAATTGCACAGATCTAGACAACTAAAATGAATAATTTAAAATTAAGATTTGAGGGCCGGCCCGTGGCTCACTCGGTAGAGTGCGGTGCTGATAACACCAAGGCCACGGGTTCAGATCCTATATAGGGATGGCCGGTTTGCTCACTGGCTGAGTATGGTGCTGACAACACCAAGCCAAGGGTTAAGATCCCCTTACCGGTCATCTTTAAAAAAAAAAAAAAAAAAAAAATTAAGATTTGAGGGCCGGCCCGGTGGTGCACTCAGAAGAGTGCAGTGCTTGGGAGTGCAGGGCGCTCCCGCCGAGGGTTCGGATCCCATATAGAGACCGGTCCTCTCACTGGTTGAGCGCAGTGCGGGCACGACACCGAGGGTTGTGATCCCGTTGCTGGTCGCGGTACGGGTACGACACCGAGGGTTGCGATCCCGTTACTGGTCACGAAAAGAAAAGACAAAAAGGAAAAAAAAAATCGCCGAGGGTTCGGATCCCATATAGAGACCGGTCCTCTCACTGGTTGAGCGCAGTGCGGGCGCGACACCGAGGGTTGTGATCCCGTTGCTGGTCGCGGTACGGGCACGACACCGAGGGTTGCGATCCCGTTACTGGTCACGAAAAGAAAAGACAAAAAGGAAAAAAAAAATAAAAATAAAAATAAAAATAAATTAAGATTTGAAAGTCTCAATGGGCTTGAACGATGGGCTGAAATAAAAAGATGAAATTTTACATGGGAGCTGTAAAAGCTTCCATTTTAAATTGAAAAATCAAGTTATACAGTATGGAATCAGAAGACCTGAATTAAAACATTTCCTATAAAGAAGAATTTAGGGTTTGAGTCAAATAAGTTCAGTATAAACCAATTTTGTGACCTTTTTCCTAAAAAAGTGAAAATTAATCTTAGGTTGGTTTATTAACATCATAATGTCTCAATCAAGGCAGGTAATAATCCTACTATGTTTTGAAATATAGCACTGAGCTCTCTGTCAAAGATCTATACCCAGCAAGGGTGGTGGTATTAAGATTCCTATGCTGTGTTAAGATGGAAAAGAAAGGTTAAGATGACCTATATACAACTTTCAGACTAATGTTGTCTGATTGTCTGACACTTACCAAGTGATGAATATAGAATGTACCCCGTAACAGCTGTTCTTCAACGCAGCCTGATCGAATCTTATTTCTTAGCACCCTCTCAATGTACTTCTTTGTCTGAGGGTTGGTGCTATGGATGAGGAGCAGCATTGCCAGGTCAAAAATCTATCGTCAATAAATGTGCAACAATAGGACAATAGTTTGATAAATCAGTACATTTACTACAACAAAACAGCAGCTCTCAACTTTTTCCCATTGAAACACAGAATGGATGATACTCATTTGCTCAATGTACTCCCATGGGAGTTCCTACATGTTTATGAACTCAGTAATATTTTTCAGAGAAATAAAGTGCCTCAACTATTAATCTCTCAAGAAAGAGAAATAAAGTGCCTCAACTATTAATCTCTCAAGAAAACATTGGAATATAAGTGAAAGTGATTTTTTTTTCCTTTTTGTCTTTTTTAGTGACCGGCAATGGATCGCAACCCTCAGTGTCGCGCCCGGACCAGATCGGGAACTCCTTTTTGTCTTTTTTAGTGACCGGCAACGGATCGCAACCCTCAGTGTCGCGCCCGGACCAGATCGGGACCGGCAATGGGATCGCAACCCTCGGTGTTGCGCCCACACCTCGCTCAGCCAGTGAGCAGCCGGTCTGTATGTGGGATCCGAACCCTCGGCGGGAGCGCCGCCGCACTCCCAAGCGGCGCACTGTAGCAGTGCGCCACCGGGCCGGCCCAGTGAAAGTGATATTACTACAGAAATAACTTTGAACATCTTCATATTTATTGAAAAAGAAACCTTGAAATCACTTACCAAGCACAGTATATATTTTAAATTATTATTAGGAAAATCACTATATGAAAAGTTGGAAAGGATGTAAATGCCCATCAATATGGGAAAGGTTAAATAAATTATAATAGAGTCATTTTTGGAATATTATATAGCCATCAAAAAGAATGAACTAGACTATTTTTTGACAGAGAAAGACATTCCTGACATATAGTAAAGTGAAAAAAAAGGGCAACCTTCAAAATAATAATCACAATAAGATTCTACTTTTGTAAAACAATATGCCAACGTACATATATATGCGTATGTATAAGAGTAAGTATGCCTGCACTTGCATTCATGTGTAAGTTTGTATATGAATAGAAAAAATCTGGAAGGATGATTATCTCCGAGGAATGAGACAGAGAGTGAAGGGTAACTTTATTTTCTACATTTGTAGATTCTTTGTGGATTTTTCTCCTCAATTAGCTTGTATTATCTATGTTTTAAAAGAAAAAGTTAAAAAGACAAGTAAGACAAAAAAAATTACTTGGGACGTGTCTTCACTGAAGAGATGGTATCTTTAGACATCAAAATTTAGAATCATTAGAACAGAAAAGAATACAGCCATTAAAAATGACAATGAAGACAACGCAGAAGCACGCAAACTATTTATGACAAGAGAAAAAAATGTCAAGAGAGAAAAATCAGAATACAAAATTATATTTATACAATGATTACAAATCTGTAAAAGTAGGTATGCAGGCAGCCAAGGTGGCCAATTTACTTTTATGCAAAAATAAAAAGTTGTGTTATGGTATTTTGATTTTTTTCCCCCCACAAAAAATTATTGATATTTTTTCATTTTTTTATTCAATATCATAAAAACTTTTAAGATAGTCTTCCATTAAACGTGATTGTAAAACTTAAAAAAAAAAAAAAAAAAATTTTTTTTTTTTTTTTAAAGATGACCGGTAAGGGGATCTTAACCCTTGACTTGGTGTTGTAAACACCATGCTCTCCCAAGTGAGCCAACCAGCCATCCCTATATAGGGATCCAAACCCATGGCCTTGGTGGTATCAGCACCATGCTCTCCTAAGTGAGCCATGGGCTGGCCCTTAAAAAATTTTTAAAGATATTAATTCAACAATTGTCTGACCCAACTACCAAAAATCCCACAAAACAGATTCCAACTAAAGAAAAATTTTTAAAGGAAACCAATCAGTACATAAGAAACTCAATCATCTGGCTTCCTAACACAAGAAGATATTCCTAGAATTAAGAGACACAGACCCAGTACCATTGCCTTGAGTGGATGGACTGTTTGATGCACCCTGCTCAGGTCTACATGTGCAAAATAAAGTAAAACAAGGAATGCCATTATCTTGACATCCGAAAGTAGAAGGAAAGGCAATCAGATACAGGGACAACTCATGACCCAGGTGGCTATATTCTTCATCTCATCAGTGAGGACTTGGCTTCTCTGACTGAAACTCGGCGCTTATTTAGAGTGCTAATATTTCCCCTTATGGATACTGTAAGCTTTTTTAATTAACAGAATTAATGAGTAGGGCAGACCTTCTAGCAGGTCACCCCCTCAGATTATCTTCCCCACACAGCTGATGTTTATTACAGCAACTACAGATGGTGCAAAAGGAGAGTGGAAGGAGGAAGAGAAAGAAAGCAGGAGGGCAAGCCAGCCAATGTCACTACTTTTAAGCCTGCAAACTTACAATTCATAGTACATGAACATTACCTTGAGTTCAGACACCGAGGCAGTGCTTTCAATCGCCTGGAAAAACAAGGGTCACAAAAATATTATGACACATCACTGAAACACATTTTACCTTATCCGATATGCCCAGTTCTCTTATTTGAAAGCCAATCTGCCCATCTGGCAACCATCATCTATCATTTCCACTTAAATGACTTTTTGGGCTTTTATTTCAACCTACCTTACTCACACTTCTGTCACTGATTGCCACCCATTTCCTTCTTGATGCTCAAAGCTCCAAAGATCTCACTCACCTTAATCCAGGCTTCTGAAATGGTTTTCTCATATCTAACAGCTGACTTTATTATATCAAAGAGGAGAGTAATACAGTCCTGATCACTGCTTTCTTGATGTCCTGAAGAACTAAAAGGAGCAGAGGGAGAAAAGTTATTGTAATTACCAGAGAGAAACTTATAAGACCTGGTTAATTCTTACTAGCCACATGCCCTGGAGCAGGTAACAGCCTCATGTATAAAACCACTAATAAACTTGTACTGTAGTCTATCTGGGATTAATCTGAATAGCTAAGGAAAAATATATACACACACATATATGATGTGAAAAACTATGTAGTATTATATGTAAATATATTACTACCATTATTTGCAGTTGTAAGTATTAAGTTCTAACTGTTCTGTTTTCAGGATAAATATTAAATAACTTTCCTTATCTTTGTGAGAAAAGGGGCAGTAATTGTCGAGGAGCTCTATACCTTGCTCGGCCTTTACTTTTCAACGTGCTTTGGGAAGCAAGAAACCGTGATGGCAAAATAAAATGCTCCACATCCAATCTCTCTCGAAGCTCAGAAATTACCTGCAGAAAGTAAATTTTAACTATGTGTTCTGCTCATTCATAGGGGATAGGCATAGTCCATTCTCTCAAAAGAACCACAACAACCTCCTAAAGGATGGAGGAAGAAAAAAATTTAAAGGTTGGACAAGGCATTTAGAAACAGAGTTGATGAGAATTACTAACACAAACGTAGTATGTCACGCCCAAAATTCCAGAATTCCTTGAGGTACTACACAGAAATAGCAAATATAAACTGCAGCAGCTTATATAGAATAATCAATCTGACTAGTAGCTCCATTCCCTTCCCTGAATACTATCAGCATTAATCAGCATTATTAGTTAGTCTGGGGACAGAGAAGAGCAATTGGGACCTATTAAATAATTTTTCCTGAAATACTTTTAACTAGGTTTGGTGAGAAATAATAGCATACCTCAAGTGCATCTGTAGCTGTTATAGAATGAAGAATGAACTTGATTATTACAGGTAAATCATTTAATTTGACAGACGACAGCTTACCCATCACCAACTGGCGGACCTAAAAATAAAAAGCACAAAATGCTTAAGTATTTTCATGTCACTACCTCAACCTAGTACTGACTTTTTAGGTAAGATTAGAAAAATAAAGTCTCTCACTAAGTTTTACCACTTGTAATTTTGGAAGAAATCCACCTCCTTTTATTTTTTCTCAAATTACAAACTTTCAATTGTTAACGCCACAGTTTCTTTAAAAAGGCTGAGGGCCTTGTTTTCAGGCATTCCTGGAACTGCTGGAAGTTGCAGCAGATTTGTCTGCCCTTGTCATATATGTACAAAGGCCAGCGGGATTTATCTGCTTCTCAGCAAGGGTGCCCAGAACCTCTCTTTTTATCCTGTAGTTTTAAAGAGCATCATATATATGTATTTTTGAGTTTTCAGGATGTTTTTGTTTGGTTGATTTTGGTTGGGATGTTTTTTAGAGTGTCATTTTTTTTTTTTCCTTGAGTTGTGATATCTTATAGTTTTAAAGCACTGGGAATACCACTGTCCTCTCTCTAATCATCATTTTAGATTTTGGACCTTTCTCTTCTGGTTTATTTTATTTTATTTTATTTTTTTTAAAGTATGACCGGTAAGGGGATCTCAACCCTTGGCTTGGTGTTGTCAGCACCAGGCTCAGCCAGTGAGCAAACCGGCCATCCCTATATAGGATCCGAACCCGTGGCCTTGGTGTTATCAGCACCGCACTCTACCGAGTGAGCCACGGGCCGGCCTAGAGAGCCTGAATTCTTAACTGGCTACAGGAAGGCATAAAAAATTGTTATTATGGAAAGCAGAAAATATTTAAGGCAATATAGAAAATTTCTACTTATTGCTTACAAACAGACCAGCAAATCTATCACAGAATAACATCTCATCGAAACTCATCAGAAACTCATCAAAAAGGGAAAAAAAAAAGAGACCAAATATCATTCTCTATGGTTTCAAAATAAAATTTTTATTACACATTATTTCTCCCAAGGCAATGACCAGAAGGTCAGAAACTGGCTCTGTTTCTGGAAAGCAGAGCCTTTCCTACCTTAGACAGCAGGTTTGAGTCAAGTCGGAGGCTAGAAAGGACATCCAGGATTGGGACAGTAAGTGAAGTATTCTCCATCAGTAGGTCACTGTGAATGGGGAAAAAGAGAAAAGACGTTTAAAAGTCAAAAAAGGCTTAAACAGGGCTGGGCAAATAATGACTTGAGAAAATCACTCATCAGAGTATGGAAAGAGAGGATATATTTAGTTCTCATCAAAATACTGTTTATAGTATGTTGCATTAAAAATTGTTTGAATTACAAAAAAGTACATTCATTATAAAAATTCAAACAACTAATAAAGTAGAAATGAGAAGCCCTCCTTCACCATCCCCACTATCCAGATGTTACTACCATTGACTTTGGTACATGTTCTTCCTTACAAAAGGAAAAAGAAAACCCAAAACAGTCACAGTGAAGTGTGATAAATATGACAGATGTTATGTGCAGGGCGCTGCAGGGCCACACAGCATTGAGAAGGACAGTGATGGAGTCTAAGAGAAGGCTATACAAGAAGACAAGCTGGCATCAGGCAGGCAAAGTGGGTGGTGGTGTGCTTTACCCAGTGAAAGCATCCTGCCCAAGAGCACAAAGGCAAGAAGTCACTGGACATTTTTAGAGATAGCTTAGCAGACAACTATAGAAAAGAAAGTATTACAAACTAAATTTTAACTACTTCTAGGACACACAAAAAGTTGCACTGAGAGAGAAACACTATACCTACAGATATAGTTCTCTTCTTAATTACCACCCTAACAATTACTATTTTTCACATGAGTAGCAGTAAGCAATGGATCTCAGCAATAAGCCTGATGCAGGCATGTGCATTCGAATTAATCATCTAGGGACCCAAAGAATGTAGATGTTTAATAAGCTCCACAAATGATTTTGATGTATAGTCAGGAGTGAGAACCCTTTGGAGGCAATGCTAATAAAAGGGATCATGCTCAGGTTCTCTATACACCAAATTTATATACTTAATCGTAAGCCAGACTTCATGTTCATAACAGGTATATCACTTAAAATAAAGTAGGTGGATCAATTTAAATATATACCCATTATTAGGCCACGGGTTTGGTTCCCTATATAGGCCTGGCTGGTTAGCTCACTTGGGAGAGTGTGGTGCTGACAACACCAAGTCAAGGGTTAAGATCCCCTTACCGGTCATCTTTATATAGGGGATAAATGAATGAATGAATAAATAAATAAATACCCATTATTAGAATAAACAAGTCAAATCCCATATCCTACTCATGGAAGGTATTATCACCCTCTTTTTATATAAAAAGGAACATATTACTACTATTCTTTCATACTGCGGTGATAAAGCTCCCACAGTGGAGCCTTGCTTAGGATGGTAACAGCATGCTTATCTACCTGAGTTCTTTCCCCACATCAGCATGCTCAGAATCCCCCAGGATTTCAGGTAGGCTGGTGATGAAGTCATGCTGCAAGTACACTGGAGCAATACTGATCAGCTGCATGATCTTGGTGGAGAGGTCCTGCAGTGGAGGACACTATTAGAATTGTAGCACATTACCCAGAATAGAGAAAGACTACCTCCTTGTGAAATAGAGAGCTGAAATTAGTTTGTGTACAATATGACAACTAGTCACTGGACATTTTTAGAGATAGCTTAGCAGACAACTATAGAAAAGAAAGTATTACAAACTAAATTTTAACTACTTCTAGGACACACAAAAAGTTGCACTGAGAGAGAAACACTATACCTACAGATATAGTTCTCTTCTTAATTACCACCCTAACAATTACTATTTTTCACATGAGTAGCAGTAAGCAATGGATCTCAGCAATAAGCCTGATGCAGGCATGTGCATTCGAATTAATCATCTAGGGACCCAAAGAATGTAGATGTTTAATAAGCTCCACAAATGATTTTGATGTATAGTCAGGAGTGAGAACCCTTTGGAGGCAATGCTAATAAAAGGGATCATGCTCAGGTTCTCTATACACCAAATTTATATACTTAATCGTAAGCCAGACTTCATGTTCATAACAGGTATATCACTTAAAATAAAGTAGGTGGATCAATTTAAATATATACCCATTATTAGGCCACGGGTTTGGTTCCCTATATAGGCCTGGCTGGTTAGCTCACTTGGGAGAGTGTGGTGCTGACAACACCAAGTCAAGGGTTAAGATCCCCTTACCGGTCATCTTTATATAGGGGATAAATGAATGAATGAATAAATAAATAAATACCCATTATTAGAATAAACAAGTCAAATCCCATATCCTACTCATGGAAGGTATTATCACCCTCTTTTTATATAAAAAGGAACATATTACTACTATTCTTTCATACTGCGGTGATAAAGCTCCCACAGTGGAGCCTTGCTTAGGATGGTAACAGCATGCTTATCTACCTGAGTTCTTTCCCCACATCAGCATGCTCAGAATCCCCCAGGATTTCAGGTAGGCTGGTGATGAAGTCATGCTGCAAGTACACTGGAGCAATACTGATCAGCTGCATGATCTTGGTGGAGAGGTCCTGCAGTGGAGGACACTATTAGAATTGTAGCACATTACCCAGAATAGAGAAAGACTACCTCCTTGTGAAATAGAGAGCTGAAATTAGTTTGTGTACAATATGACAACTATAGACTCATGCTCACAACATAAATTCAGAGGCAAATGGCCCAGAAAATTTCATACGAGATATGGTATATAGAAAAAAATGTAGAGTGGATGGTATGAGGGGACTTCAAAACATTCATAGAAAAATGGAATTAAAAGCTAAAAATATTGCTGGCTAGTTAGCTCAGTTGGTTAGAGCACGGTGTTATAACACCAAGCCAAGGGTTCGGACACCTTTAGTGGCCAGCTGCCAAAATAAATAAAAATAAAAAATATAAACTTTTTCAACGTAAGCTCCATTAAGTTCAGATACTTTTGTAAGGGATAATACCAGCCATGTCTACCATGTCAATGCAGTCTTTTCTACATTATTAACTGAAGAAAAATGAGTGCCTTTTAAGGATTTTTTAAGATTAGGGAAAAAAAAGTCAGAAGGAGACAACTCAGGACTGTAAAGTGGATGCCTAATGATTTCTCATGGAAATTCTTGCAAAATTGCCCTTGGTGGATGAGAGGAACGAGCAGGAACGTTTTTATGGTACAGAAGGACTCTATGGTGAAGCTTCCCCAGGCATTTTTCTGCTAGAGCCTTGGCTTACTTTTTCAGAACACTCTCATAAGTAGATGTTATCATTCTTTGACCCTCCAGAAAGTCAACAAGCAAAATGCCTGAACACCCCAAAAAACTGTTGCCATGACCTTTGTATTTGATCATTCTGCTTTTGCTTCCTGGACCACTTCCACCTCCTGGTAGGCATGGCTTTGATTGTGTTTTGTCTTCACAATTGTACTGGTAAAGTCATAGTTCATCTCTTGATACAATTCTTTGAAGAAATGCTTCAGGATCTTGATCCTGCTTGTTTAAAATTTCCACTGAAAACTCTGCTCTTGTCTGCAGCTGATCTGGGCACAACAGTTTTGACACTCATTGAGTGGAAAGTCTGCTAGATTTTAATTTTTCAATTAGAATTGTGTAAGCTGAACTGAGATGTCTATGGTGTTGGCTATTGTTTCTGCTATTAATCGTTGGTCCTCTTCAATTAGGGCACAAACAAGATTAATTTTTCCTCACAAACAGATATGGATGGCCTGCGCTTCATCTTCACCATCATCTTGTCCCTTCTTAAAATGAAATATCCGTTTGTAAACTGCTGATTTCTTTGGGGCATTGTACCATAAACTTTTAGTAAAGTATCAATGATTTCACCATTCTTCCATCCAAGCTTCATCATAAATTTGATGTTTGTTTTTGCTTCAATTTTGGCAGAATTTCTGTTGTTCTGACAGGGGCCCTTTTAAAAGTGATATCTTATCCTTTTTAGTGCCTCAAATTAGACCCTGTTCAGATATATTATAACAAGTTAGTATAAGTTTATTTACTGTTTTTGCTTCAATTTTGGCAGAATTTCTGTTGTTCTGACAGGGGCCCTTTTAAAAGTGATGTCTTATCCTTTTTAGTGCCTCAAATTAGACCCTGTTCAGATATATTATAACAAGTTAGTATAAGTTTATTTAAGTGCAAAAAATTTTTGAAATCCATGCATAGTTTTTTCATAATGTGCATTTTCCATGAACATTTTGAAGACCCCTCATATAATATCTATAGGTGTTACACTTTATTTCATTTAATCTTCATAACTATGGAGTTAGTGTGACAATTGCTATTTTTAAAATGTGGGGATATAAGTTGCTCAAGGATACATAGTTAAGTAGCAGACCCAAAATTCCAGCTTGGATGAGACTCCAAAATTCATGTTCTTCCAAATAAAGATTAGCCTTGAAATATCTGACAAAAATTAATGATTTTAAGAATTCCTGAAAAGAAATAGGCCTCAAGCACTAAACTCAAAAAACATTCAACTTTACCAAAGTGCTTAATACCAAATCACATAATTCCAAAAACTTTCTGTAATATTCCTCAATATGTAATCAAATTAAAACATTTGCAGTGAAGAAGGATGGTTTGGCATCTCATCACTTTTGAGAAATAAACATAGTACTCTATGTTATCTCTGTACTTTGAAAAACTAATACATTTCAAAGATTTAATTTATTTAATATGCTCTCTAATCATTGTAACTAGATAAACTTCTCTTTTGAAGAAATTTAGAGTGAAATATCCATGATTCTCAAATTATGAAAGCTGGAAAAGGCTAATAGATGAATGGAAAAATTAATTTTTTTCTGTTGAGAAAAAAGGAAAGAACCCACAAATTCCAAAAGATTGGTTAAGTGTGGAAAACATACTCTTTAAATTCAAGAGATAGATAAAGCCCCAAAGCCTACCTTGCCATCCACAACTCTGTCAAGCCATTTCAGTTGACTGATAATGAGGCGAGGCATGTTGATTCCATCACTGTTCGTGCTGAAATATTACAAGAAGACAAGGAACTCAGCCTTTCTGTATGTAACAGCAAGCATCAATACTGCACAAAATATTTCAGCTATTCAATTAACATTTCCTGAACACTTACTATGCACTGGACATTGTACTAAACATACAGGTAATATCAAAAAAATCAGGAGACATATGCTTCTATATATTAAGAAAGATATCTGCAAGAAGACATGATAAACTGTTAATGGTGGCTACAGGCTGGCCGTCTAGCTCTGTTATAACACCAAGGTCAAAGGTTCAGATCCCCATACTTGCCAAAAAAATAAAAATAAATAGTTTTCTAAAGAGAATAAAGGTAACAAACTTTAAAAAATTAATTAAGGCAAATATTTTTAAAAGGTAAAAAATTAATACAGCAATGTGATAAGTGCTAAAAAAGGCAAGCATATATTGCTATAGAAACACAGCAGGTCAAACTAGATTATGTTCATGAAAGTATTGAAAACCATTTATGGGTGAAGAAATATTGATTCAGTTATTATTATTTCCCCCAAAATCATAGTCTCCACCTTCTTCCCAACCTCCTATGTCTAAAGTTTTAGACTACCTCCAGCTCCTTTTCTTGACAGCATTCTTGGTCCTGTTTACTCCAGTCAATCTAAACTGCTAAGAAAGACATAGCCAGGACACAGAGAATCTAGCATGAGCCATTTAACTAAAACACAAATTTTCAAAAATAAACCTTCAAGATTACTATTATTATTATATACAGAATCCTAAAAAAACACATATTGAAAAGAAAATAAAAATAACTATAATCCTGTCCTTCCAGAGATGTACACTATCGAGATATACATTTGTGTGTGTGTGTGTGCATGTATTGTTGGAAATAAATTGTAACGTAGGGGGGCATAGAATATAAGTAGTAAAATTGTAGAAAAATATAACCTTAATGTACGCAGTTTTGTAGCAGTGCATAAACAAAGCACTTTTTTCAGGGGCCAGAACAAGGGTCAGGCCCGAGCACACTGAACAATGCATAAGCAACGCAGCTTATCAGGGGCTATAACAAAGGTCAGGCCCGAGCACACTAAACATTAATAGCCCCCACCGGTTTCAGGAAATAGCTGGTTCAAAGGCCACCAAGCCAGACCCCAGGGAAGGTAAACAATTGAAAAATGCGATAAGGGGTGCCAGCCTGTTAAAGCCCACCTGTAAATCCAAAAGGCACCAACTGATGCCCACCTGTAAATCTAAAAGCGCCACAGATAACCAACAAATGATCCTATCACAATATCCATTCAAAAAAACTGTATAAAAGCTGCTTTCATTGTGAATTTGGGGCCGCTCCTGTCCTGAAAATGGGGCGACCTCCAGCATGCCGGAAATAAAAACCTCTTGCTTTTGATCTCTGTGCCTCCTGGTCTTTGCGAGATGAGCCTTCCCATCAAGTAAGAATTGTGCTTTTAGGCCGGTCTTACAGTATCTTCTTTTTCTTTTTTTATTATAAGATGACCAGTAAGGGGATCTTAACCCTTGGCTTGGTGTGGTCTGCACCATGCTCAGCCAGTGAGCGAACCGGCCATCCCTATATAGGATCCGAACCCATGGCCTTGGTGTTATCAGCACCGCACTCTCCCGAGTTAGCCACGGGCCGGCTCTGTATCTTCTTTTAACAAAATACTGAACTGAACTGTAAATACTGATTTGTAACCTGGGCTTTTTCCCTCAATTAATGTATGCTATTAAATATTCCTCTTCATACAGAGGAGGGAAAGGCAGAGGTGGAGGGGGGGGACTAGCAAGAAATTGGTAAAGTGCCACAAAAAATGAATACATTGTATAATGATAAACACAGTACTTATCCTGATTTGAATATCATGTATTAAGTATTGCTATTCAACGCTGTACCCCACATATGCACAATTATGTTTCAATTTAAAAAAAATTGAAAATAAAAATTCCTCTTCATAATATCTAATCTCCACATGATGTTCCTATTCTTTTTTTTTTTTTTCGGTGGCTGGCTGGTATGGGGATCCAAACCCATGATCTTAGTATTATAAGGCTGCACTCTAACTGGGCTAACTGACTAGCCTGATATTCCTATTCTTGAACATGTGAGTCATTTAGAATTTTTTATTATTTTAAACAGTAATGTCTTTGTTTTCATTCACAGTTATTACCTTAAGATAAATTAGGAGACATGGCATTGAGGATTAAAAGGTAAGCAAAATCTAAGGTCTTGATACATAGAATCGATTGCTCTTCAGAATGATTAAACTAACTAATATGCGCATCAGCAATGTGTGAGCACACCCACTCATTACACTCAACAAGCGAGAGGCCTTTTAGAGTGGAAAAAATGCATTTATTGCTTTAAATTTGTGTCTTTGATTCCTAAAACAAAATTGCACTTATAAAAAAAAAACTTTAATGATTTGTATTTCTTCCTTGTTCATTTTTTTCTGACATAGAATTAAAAAAAAAAAAATCTAGAGGTTAAAGAACAGTATGTATTCAGAGAATACCTGACTCTAGTCAATTGGCTCTCCTCTTTGAAGACAACTACTGCTTCCAGTTTACTGTGCATCCTTCTAGAGATAATCCATGAATATACAAGCATTTGGAATATTAATTACTTTTAACAATAATCTTTACAATTTTTAAGAATTATTATTTATTCATTTTTACTATTATTTTATTTTGGCAGCTGGTCGGTATGGGCATTAGAACCTTTGACCTTGCTGTTATTAGCACCACACTCTACTGAGTGAGCTAACCAGCTGGCCCTATTTATTTTTATGTGGACACATTAAAAAAATGAAATTTCAAAGAAAGACACTCCAGTAAAATTTTGTAGTCACATAAGAACCAGGCATTTTGATAAATATGACCTTTATAAAAAACCAATAATCTTTCAGAGTAACCTTTTCAGAGAAAAACTTAAGTACACCAGGCTACTTTGAGCATTCCAGAATAACTCCACTTACTTTTCAAAAAGAAATTCTGGCAACTTTTCAAATAAGGTTTTGATAATGGCAGGCTACAAAACAAGAAATAGGGAATTAGGAGATGGTCTCAAAATAAACAACAGAAATGTATAATTAGCCAGAATACTCCCCAACCAGAGCTCTTGGAGGAAAGACTGGTATAACTGATGTTCTGTTATAAGAATATCCGCATGGATAACTGTCTATATTTTGAAAGAAATTGTTGGAATACAAAGACTTATCAATAATTTGTCTTCAGGAAAACTGTAAAATGATTATTAAGGAAAAATTAATCAGATGATCAGGATTATTATTAAATATGGTAACTGTTAATCCATGAAATGCTGACTTTGAAAGATTATCAAATGGTTTACAAGAAGAGAGGATTTCTCTTCAGAGGAACGAGGGGGCTCTTAGACTTAAGCTAACTAAATTATATTCAAGATTTCCAATGAAAAGGAAGAGATTAAGAGTGTAGGAAGATTAATAGCAGGGGAGAAGAGAAGAGGAACTGGTGGGAGAAGAGATGGAGAACTGGGTGGAAGGGAGACTTTTCACTGTGTATACATTTATACAATTTGAGATGTTTAAAATGTCAATGTATTGTCTACTCACTAAATTAAGAGCGAGAAGGAGGAAAAGGGCAGTATCAAGTTACATAAGCAACTAAAAAGCTAAATGGGAGATGATGCAGATATGAATATGGTAAAGAATACAAGGTGCTCAGGGCTCAAAAGATAAAGCTTTAAGGAGCAGGAGTCAGATGCTGAGGGAATAACTGGGACTACCAGAGGTACTGGGCTAATCAGACTGTTAAAGACACAGATATTACCCTCCCAGACTTGTCTTAGCAACAGGGCTATTGCCTTGTTGCAAACCCAAAGCTTCTGCAAATACAAATTCTCCAGTTAACCCTCCTCTACCCTGTGCTCCAGCCACTTATACTTGGGTATACACCACAAATCACACCCATCAAATATTCACAGAAAAAGTGGCATAGTCTCACCTGTAATATGTCAATCCCCAGAAGCAGTTTGATGAGGCTCTTAGAATAAGATGTGTTAATACTGAAAAACAGAGATTTTGCTTTCTATTTTGTTTTCCTTGTTAATGTTTTTATTATCCCTTCCCCATAAAATTGGTTAAATAAATAACCTTTAAAGAGAAACTATCCTGTTAGATAAGAAATACAGAACATGAGAAGATGGCTTTTAGCAAGGGAGAGGCAGAGGGCTGAAAGTTTATCAACACAGGTGAGTCACATTATAGAAAACACTGGTTCTTAGCCTCATAACCATAAACTTAATAATTTTAAGGCTAAGTTAAAACTCTGAAGAAAAGATAGCTATAAATCAAAAGTGAAATTCCAAAAAAATTACATCCTGCTCGTTCCCCCGCATCCAGTTAGTTTAACAGACTGAATTTCAGCAAGATTTCATGCCTCCTCTCCACACCTGGCTTCCTCATCCTGCAGACGTTCACAAGACAAAAGGCAGTTTCTGAAACTGTCTTGGTCCTCAATGTAAGACTCCAGGCCACTAATAAATTCTTCTATTACCTTAATAAGGAGATTTAAAAAATAAAAAGACAAGGGAAGAATAAGATTTTTAGTTTAACATTTGCTGTCAGTTACCTAAAAATCATTCCAGCCCATTCAAATTTATGCCAGGGTCTTTAAATTCCCAATTCCAGAGTACTGCTGGCAAAAGCAAAAATACTAGGGAGAAAATACATACTTTGGGATAAGAAGGATGTTTCCTCAGGGTCTGAAAGAGCTTCTTTTGGAAAACTACTTGATCTACAGCTATGAGGAAAGAAGAATAACTGGTCACCAGAGTCTTTAACATCTCCTACCATCGTTTTCCTTCCCTAAAGGCCTGATCAAACTAATAAAGATATTTTCAACCTAATCTCAGAGCCAAATCTTCTAAACCCACAATAAAACAGACTTACCTCTTTTTTTTTTGACCGGCAAGGGGACTGCAACCCTTAGCTCGGTGTCATCCACATCACTATGCTCAGCCAGTGAGCGCACCGGCCATCCCTATATAGGATCTGATCCCGCGGCCTCGGTGCTATAAGCACCGCACTCTCCCGAGTGAGCCACGGGGCCGGCCCCAGACTTAGCTTTGATAGAGGATAGCCACCAAGTGTTCTAAGGAAGGCCTGCCATAACCTTAGCAGGATAGAGTACCCTGTGCCCTCTAAGCAGAGCCTTACATGGCTTTATAAATTTTCTTCTGAAATTATTCTGACACAGATATAATTGCTTTCTGGGTATTACTTTATTTTTTTATAAGGAAACACAAAGGGATAGTAGTATATAATATTTTTTTCTAAAAAAAAGATTAGAAGTACTTTACTTAACACGCATTAACCAGGACCCAAAACTATAATAATATTCACTAAAAAGAAATTTCATCCTGGTCTCAGAATGGATGGTCCTCCCATTTCCAAACTTCATTGCCTCTCTAGTTAGAAAATCCATGATTCAGTCCTGAGCCCTTTCACTGAACTCGGAGAAGAGATTTAAATTAAAATATTACCAGGCCGGCCCATGGCTCACTCGGGAGAGTGCGGTGCTGATAACACCAAGGCCCCGGGTTCAGATCCCATATAGGGATGGCCGGTTTGCTCACTGGCTGAGCGTGGTGCTGACAACACCAAGTCAAGGGTTAAGATCCCCTTACTGGTCATCTTTAAAAAAATAAAATAAAATATTACCTAGTTGATTCTGACTTTCTCCAGTTCTAAGAATAATTCCTGATGTCTTAAGAAGCCTTACAAAGACACTGTCATTTTCTTCAGCTTCATTAGGAACATGAGATTCCTTGGTCTTTCTGGAAAGTGGTCGCTTCCTGGCTTCTGAAAATAGACAAAATTTTCAAAAATGTGACAAACAGTAAAAATTAAAATGTAAACCCAGGGATAATAATCCTAAAACGAAAATTTATTTGTTCCTGAAGAATTATACTAGAATTGATACAGTAGTAAAATAAACTATCTCTAACAATGGTCAGTAATAGTGGCTTCCAAATCAATAAATCAATCAACCAACACATAGAATTATTTTCATCTATTGAATTTTCACTTGAAGAATTCAAAATCTGAAAATAACCATAAAAATGTTTTCCACCCAAATTCTGAAGTAGTTAGTGTCTCTCAAGCTGTTGTCTGCAAACCACTACCTTGGAATCGCTGGGAAGCTTATTAAAATGCATACTCCCAGGCCACATCCCAGAACTATGGAGTCAACATTTTGGGAATGGGATCTGGGAATCTGAATTTTTGACAAGCTCTCCAGGTAATAATCCTGATGTACACTAAACCTGAGAATCAATGATCTGTATGAAAGGGTAGACAAAATGGGGCAGGTCGTCCTGCATCACATCTCTGAGTACAAGCTCAGATTGGTTTTATCCCATGACTTTGAACCCACAAAAGGTAATAAGATGTAATAAATGAACAAACAAAAACAAATAGGAACTTGAAGCCAAGCATGAAATCTATCTACTCCTCTCCCTTAATAATGCAATTCTACTGTTTTTTCCTTCTCAAATTCCTCTCCCTCTCTCTGATAAAGCCTTAAGCAGAATGAAACAAAGACCACCATCTTCCTTAGAGAAACTAAGTCATAACCAGGACGAAAGATTCAATTTTCTCATGACTGACCAAAAGAACCCAAGTCCCTTAATTCAGAAGTCTCTTATCTTTTGGAGAACAGTATTTCCAAAGTATGACATTTACTTCTAGTGACTTCCTAAATTATTCCTCTTCAGTTTAAAAATTTCTACCAATTTCTCTATATTCTACAATTCCCTAACATTGTTGAGTCTCAGAATTTCCTTTTCTAAATCAAGCCTATTGGCCAGACGTTGGCGAGTGGCGTGTCTCCAAGATGGCTGCTTGGGGAAGGAGGTGTCTTGGCCTGGGCAGCAGTGCCCAAGAGAGGGTGAGCTTGTCGGCCACAGACTGCTACATCATGCACAAAATCTACAATGGGGAGAACGCCCAAGACCAGTTTGAGTACGAGCTGCAGCAGGCCTTGGAAGCACAGCACAAGTACATTGGGATCGAGCCAATCTGCATCGGTGATGAGACAGCTTGCTGAATCACTGTGGGCAACTGCCTGCACAAGAAGGCCGTGCTGGCGGGCACTGCCTGCCTCTTCACCCCCTTGGCACTGCCCTTAGATTATTCTCACTACATCTCCCTGCCCGCTGGTGTGCTGAGCCTGGCCTGCTGTGCCCTCTACCTAATTTCCTGGCAGTTTGACCCTTGCTGCAAGTACCAAGTGGAGTACGACGCCTATAAACTGTCCTGCCTGCCTCTGCACACACTCACCTCCTCTACCCCCGTGGTGCTGGTTCGAAAGGACGACCTGCGCAAAAAGAGACTGCACAACATGATAGCACTAGCCACCCTGGTGTACTGTGTAAAGAAGATTTACGAACTCTACGCAGTATGATTTCAGTAGAGCAGGGAAAGAAGCAAAACAACGCAGCCCACGGGAGACAACAGAGTATTCAGATTGCCACAGTAACATTTTTTGCTCTGTGAGACAGTGGAGCCTGGGAAGGTGTTTGGTTTAATACTTGTTATTTCTAAAAAATAACACAGATCACGTGTGTACCAAGCGTTTTTTTCAGCTCATTACACTAAGATGCAGATTTCCATGACCCAAGAGGGGGTCTGAGGCTATGGAAGTCCGATCGGGCAGTGGAGTGTGGACGAAAGCAAACACTACTGAGGGTCTGTGAACACGCTTTGGGGGGTGGGGGTCTTTAAGTATGTTGTTTAACTGTACCATCCAGAGCCAACCAGAAGCTATCGACTATTAAAATTATGAGAATTTCAAAAAAATAAATAAATAAATAAAGCCTATTGATATTCACATGGTTTGGGCCTTGAAATTTTAATCATCTTAAATGCTGTTCAAGAAGCATCAACAAGCATTTTCATCAACATTCACTGTATGTGAACAAAAGTCAAACCTAAATTCCTATAACCTAATAAAACTCTTCAACTGACAAGTTAGAACTGCCTTAAGAGAGTAAATAAGTGCAATAAATAAAAAGGACTATCAATTCCTTATCTTCAGAACCATTAGCGCCTTTGTCAACCACATTTTCAGATGGGCAGAGTCAGCACTGTTTCATTGCCTCTGGTGTGCTTACTTTGATATGATGTCTTTCTTTTATATAGCACTATCATAGCATTTATCTAGATCATAACTTTTTAAGGGAGGAAGTGGTACCATAAAGTTTTTTAAAGGGTTCGGACTGTGTCATATCTTTGTGTCCCAGCACCTAGATGATGTACAGTAGATAAAAACTATAATAGTAATTCCTCTTATAGATGTGGAGACTGAAGTTCAGAGGCTATGAGCATGCCCAGAGTCATATGTGGAATCAGAGGCAGAAACTCAGTCCCAAATCTCCTGATACTAGATTCTGTGTGCTCTATCCATTATGCCTTGATGACTCCCAGCACTTGAAAAGTAGGAACTTTACATCTCTTTAAGAGCCTCATCACACATTTCCTACAAGAAATAAAGGAACAATGGCTAGACACTTACTTGAAGCATCTTCTGTCAGATTCTTTTTATCCTTAGACTTTGACAATCTTCCTTTGGAAACCATTTTGACCAAAGTCTTCTGCACTTAAATTACTTCCTAGAGCAAAATCAGAGAACAGAAGTTACTCTCTAGAAACTAAATTCTGAGATGTCAAAGCTATGGCTCAAAGAAAACAGCTCTATCCAAAACCAGAGGGTTTCTAGTCTTTATAGTAATGCTATCTAAATCCAGGTGCTAAGCAAATTTCAACTACTATATCTGGCCAATACTTCCTTGCTTGCAAGATTTGTTACCTAGTTGCCTCTTTAGCCAGACCACTTCCCTGTTGCTGAAGGATAAAACCCAGAGTTCTCCATCTGAGATTCATGACCCTTCATCATCTAACCCCAATCTACCTGTCCTTTAACTCATTAATTCAGTGCTATGTGTTAGGGACTGTGCCAAGCGCTGGAGTTACAATTGGAAACTCCCTGAAGACATGATCCCTGTACTCAGGAAGTTTACAATATAATAGCAAATACTCTTAATGTACTTAACTATAGCTGTGTAAGTGCAGTAAAAGAGAAAAGTATAGATTGCTTTGAGGGCTTACAAAGAAATTTAGTCTAGTTGGGGGTAGGGGTGGTAAAGAAAAGCAGGGACAATTTCTCAGGGACAATCTCCCTGAGAAGCAATTTTTAATCAGGGACTTGAGGGTTGAAATAGGGGTTAGCCAGTAGAAGAGGTATGAGAAGAGTAATCCAGGCAGACAAAAACTCATACTGAAACAGGAAGGAGCTTGTGGAGTTAGAAATGAGACTGCAGAGGTAGGGGAGGGCCTGAACCACATGGCCTTCCTGGTCTCAGTGCCTTTGCACAAAGGTGCTCTTATTTGCCTGGAAATTCCTACTTATCCTTAAATATCAGTCAAATATCATCTTCTCTGAAAAGTGGTCCTCCGATCCCTAAGGGAGGTTACTACTCCAGATTCCCTGCTCCACAGAGTACATCTAGGAGACCTTACCACATCACACTAGACTGTGGGGCTCTTGTTTTTTTTTGTTTGTTTGTTTGTTTCCGGCGTCTGGCCCGTCCGGGGATCCGAACCCTTGATCTTGGTGTTATCATCTCCACGCTCTTCCGAGTGAGCTAACCGGCCAGTCCGTGGGGCTCTTTGAGGGAAGGAACCCTGGTCTCATTTATCTCAGTGTCCCTAGTGCCCAGCACAGTACCTGGCATATAGAACATTTCTGAGAATATTCGCTGACTGAGAATGGCTAGCAGGACAGTTAAAATACTAATAGTTAACAAGAACTATTTTAAGTGCTTTAAAGTTAGTAACTCATTTATTCTTCACAAAACTTTCTGAGTTAGGTATCATAATTATTCTCGTAATCAGTATTAGAGCTGGGATTCTAACTCAAGCAATCTGGCTCCAGAACCTGTGCTCTTTACCACCTACACTTACTCTTGACTATAGTAATGACTTCTATTTATGGTTAACATTTACAACGTACCGAGCACTGTGCTAGGCTTTTTATTTATCCGTTGCTTTTTATTTATCGTTTAATACGTATAACCATTATCAGCCATTTTGCAGATGGAAAAACTAACTCAAGTCAGGACCGTCTGACTTAGGGCATACGTCACTAAAACTTGCGATACCGCCTCGCTTCCAGAGAAACTTAAAAGACATAAAATGAGGCCGACTGCCTGGACTAGGTCATCCGGGAAGGGTTTGGGGGTAAAAGCCATTCTCATTTCGTGACTTTAACGCGCAGGGAAAGTACCTGGTGGGATTATCACACGATAGGGCAGATGAGCAAGTCGAGGTTCGGGGCGCGGAGCCCCACAGGTAAGGGCCAGGCTCGTCCCGGGCCTAGAGACCAGGCCGCGGGGGCGTGGGGCCTCGAGAGACCACGACCACTGCTCCACTCAACCGCCGAGAAGCCGTCACCGCCTTTTACTTTCGACTTTCCCGCCAGGCTCGACGCCGCTCTGACGTCACCGAGGCGCGCCTTGACGTGACGTCCAGCCTCCGCGCCGGAAGTGGGCGTCCGGGCGGCCCAGCTGAAGACAGTGCGCGAAGGCCCGAAGCTGCAGCAGAGTTCCGGACCTGTCAGACTGAAGGGCGAGAGAAAGTCCGGAGGTGAACTGGAAGACGAGCCCCGGCGCCCCGAAGAAGAGAAACCCGGCTACCCTCGGGCGGGAAACACCTTTCGGTGAAGATGGCGGGGCCAGAGCTACTGCTCGACTCTAACATCCGCCTCTGGGTGGTCCTGCCCATTGTTATCATCACCTTCTTCGTGGGCATGATCCGCCACTACGTGTCCATCCTGCTGCAGAGCGACAAGAAACTCACCCAGGAACAAGTGTCTGACAGGTCAGCGCCCTTTCCTCTCCGGCTGACCTCACTGCTCCGTGACCTTGGGCAAGGAAGTGCAGGGGTTATATCGGTTTGCCTGGGTTCGCATCTCGACCTTACTGGCTGGGTGACTTTGGCCTTTACTTCCGTGTTTTACTTTCGTCATCTGTAAAATGGGAATAACAGTACCTGCCTCATGGGGTTAAATTAGGTGATGTTTGAAAAGCTCTTAGCACAGGGTTTGGGACGTATTAAGTACTCAAAGACACGTTGCTGTTGATATTGTCGGGCTAGTTGCCAGTCCTCGGTGGGCTTATCTATACAGTATTCTGTCGCACCCTTTCGTTGGGAAGAGTGCCTGCCGAGTGCCAGGTGCGTTACTGCTTTTGGGTTTTGTAACTTTCGGTTAGGTGAGTGTGCTAATCCCCGTTCTACCAAATTACCGTAATGGGCAGCTGAGATGCTAAGTAACAAAGCGCTTTACAAACTGTAAAACTACCTTCAGAGATGTGAGGAGTTGTAATAATCATTTCCCTTCCTGGAGTGGAGACAACTTCTTCCTCACATGCTTCCTTACAATATTTATCTGCGGAGACAGAAATTTGAGATGGTTTTAGGTGGTGTCTAGACATGCGTCCCCTCCATAGTGAAGTAAATAACAATTTGCAGTTGTTCCAGTTATTTTCAAAGACCATCTTAGGTGAGTGCTACTATGTCATTAACACTTCCCTATGACTTATTAATCTCATTTTAACATAGAGAGTAAGCCTCAGGCTCAGAGCTCTCTACTGGTGACAATATCTAGCTAAAATTTAATAATGTTTTATTTTTATTGTATTTAACAGTTACTTTCTTTTTGTGGCAAGTGCATTTTCACTTTCTGCAGTTTCGGTTACCTGTGGTCAACCGTGGGCTGAAAATATTAAATGGAAACTTCCAGAAATTCATATTTTAAATTGTGTGCCATTTTGAGTAACTTGATGAGATCTCACACAATCCTGCTCCCTCCTGCCCAGAATGTGTATCATCCCTTTATCATGTTTGTCCAGTGTATCCATGTTCTCTATGCCACCCACTGTCTCAGTTATCAGGTCGACTCATGTCACAGTGCTTGTGTTCAAATAAGCCTTATTTTACTTAGTAATGGTCCCAAAGCACAAAGTAGTGATGCTGGCAATTTGGATATACCAAAGAGAAGCTGCAGAGTGCTTCCTTTAAGTGAAAAGGTGACCTTGCGGTTCCTTGGCTAGGGTTTGATACTATCTGAGGTTTCGGACATCCACTGGGGGTCTTGGAACATATCCCCCAAGGGTAAGGGAGACTACTGTATTAATGGATTTCCATTTGCTGGTAATTTAAAGATTTCTTTAAATTAAAAACATGTAGGGAGCGGGCCGGCCCGGTGGCGCACTGGAGAGTGCGCCGCTTGGGAGCGTGGCGGCACTCCCGCCGAGGGTTCGGATCCCATGTGGAGACCGGTTCCCGCTCACTGGCTGAGCGTGGTGCGGGCGCAACACCGAGGGTTGCAATCCTGTTGCTGGTCAGTAAAAAAGACAAAAAGGAAAAAAAAAAACATGTAGGGGGCTGGCCAGATTAGCTCAGTTGGTTAGAGTGTGGCCTTGTAATACCATGGTCAAGGGTTCAGTTCCCTGTACTGGCCAGCCACCAAAACAAAAAAATGTATAGGTAGAAAAAGAGTAGTAATATAAAAAATATTAAGTATGTAATAATACAAGTGTTAGGTGAATAAGACAAAAATCCTAACATGGGATGAGAATGACTGAAGTTTGGGAAGCACTGCTTTATTATTTTCAGTTGTCCTTCCCAATTATGCTGAGAAAAAGAAGCCAACATTTATTAAACACTTACAAGCTACCATGCTGAGCACTTATATTCATGAACTTATTTAAAACTCAAAGCAACTCTATGAAGTAGTTACTGTTCTATTTTATAGACACAGAGGCTTGAAGAGTTTCTATGGTCACACATGGTGACATTCAGGACTTAAAGCCAAGTCTTCTGGTTCCCAAGTCTGGGGCACTTTCCACTATACCACAGTGGCCACTTTTATTATTTCTCTATGGCATTTGTTTCAGAACTGCCCAGAGCCAACTCCCTGGAGCTAACCTTAATAAGTCAGTTTACCACAGAATGGAAGGCTATAGAAGGAAAGTGGAGAGAACTCAGACATTCAGCATTTATTGATACCTATAGATTACTATCATCTTATCCCTACAATAGCATTGAGATAGATAATCCTAAACCAGTTTTTACAGTTGAAGAAAAGGAAATCTGGAGAAGTTAAGTAGCCTTCCTAGAATAACAAGAGTAATAAAATATTGTGCCTGTACTTGAACCCAGATAGGTCTCACTCCCAGGTTAAATCCTTTTAACCACGATTCCTGCTGTCACAAGTTCTCTGCCACAATTTTCTGCCCCTGGTTCACCATAGGATTTTAGGGCAATGGCTCTGAATGGTATCAGACACAAAGCACTCTTTTCTTTTCTTTTCTTTTTTAAAGATGGCTGGTAAGGGGATCTTAACCCTTGACTTGGTGTTGTCAGCACCACGCTCTCCCAAGTGAGCTAACCGGCCATCCCTATATAGGGATCCGAACGCATGGCCTTGGTGTTATCAGCACCACACTCTTCCAACGTGAGCCACGGGCCAGCCCTAAAGCACTCTTTTCTAACCCCAAAATGGAGTTCACAGTTGGTGCTGTCTACACACAAGAATGTTTTTTTAAAAAACAAAATACAACATAATGCTCAAGTTTTAACAATCAAGAGAAATGAAAGTAATTTATAAGAAAACTTATGTTTTTTAAGTGCTTGTGCACAATCATCCTAGAATGTGTGATGCAAAAGTCAGATGCATGCACCTAGCTGTAAAATCACCATAATTGGGATGAGTTCAATTGTCGGCTGACACAGATGTGTTGGCTACTTAAATATCACAGAAGGCAGTGCTGTCTTGATGTGATTTTCCTAAATGGTGAACTACTCTCGATAAAGTTCTAAACAAAACAAAGTACAGTTTTCCCTATGTTTACTCAATGCTTGCGTACCTGGTAATTTAGTATATATAAAAACTGTGCCCCCCGCCCCAAAGGAATTAGGTATGAGGTTCAGATAATTAAAAACAATCTGGTGAGATATTCAAAAGTAGTGTGGGACATGGAACAATTCTTTGCATTGCACGACTGACTGTCTCCAGCATTGAGCAATGCTTAGCATCTCTTACCTCTTTTTTTTTTTTTTTTTTTTTTTTTTTTTTTTTTTTTTTCCCCGGGCCCGGCAAGGGACCCAACCCCCCT